ACAACGTGGTCTGCTCTACGTGCGCCGCGCCCCTGTCGGAGCTGAATGCGAACGGGGCCGGCTCAATGATGCTGAGTTTGCAGCAAATATGGCGTGTTCAGTTTGTCGACCATGGAAGAGCTCCAGATCTACCGTAGGACTTGCGGGCAGGAAAGAAATGACGTTTGATGTCGTGCACCAACTCCGGGAAATTGGAGCGTTCAGTGAAAAAATCAGGCTTTGAGATGGTACGGTAAGGAGATAGCGGGTTTAAAGAAGAGAAGAAGATGAAGAATATGAGACACGGAAAATCAGGAAATCGCGATTATAAGGGATTTCTCGTGTCGAGAGGATTGCAGGGAAGTATGAAAATTTTGGGACATATGTTATAGTAGATGTTTTTATTTTTTGGGGGACCCGTGGTGGTTTGTGGTGTGTTTTGAGGAATAGCTAGCCATTTTCGCGAGAGTTTCGAGGCGTTTGTATGCGGATCAGTGAGATTTCACTGTTATCCTAAATAGAGCGTCTACCGACGTCTGATTAGCATACTGTGCATGCGTCGGGTAACGCGCTTCTATGCGCTGCTATGATGGCTCGTGCAGATACAGTCATTGTGTGCTCGCTCCCGCTCGCCAAAAATGCCATGCGTTCGCCTATATACTAGTTAATTTTCTAATGTTACAGTTCATGATAGCTACACTGTACACAAAGCGCTGCATATTAAACTTTTTACTCAGGTGAAATGTGTCTTTTGTTTGGTTGGGTCTTTGTCAAACATTTTTTCAGGTATGAATAATATTTAACTGCATTTCTAAATTTCTATGTATTAAATTTTTACCTGTTTACCACACCATAAGGTGGAGCATAGAAACACCCGGAGGATGAATTGCAGAATAGTCTAAGCTTATGCTGACCGTCTTCATTGTCAACGAGCGTGGCCTTGCATGGCACACGGCATTGTAGCTATACACCCCCAAGCAAACTAGCACAGTATATTATATTAGGGTATTAAATGCTTAGCACCGAGTACAAATACTGCTTTTAGCGTGACTGCAATAAACACAACTAAGGATTAAAATGTGATATTGTATACTAGTGTATAATATTATTAAGTCATGTTGTTTGAAAAGTTTTTTAACTCCACCAAATTAGTTATGGATAACACAAGGTTGTTTACCCTACGTTGCTTTACAATTCTACATTTCCCACATTCCATATATAATAGCTGCAACACAGGATGTTTCTGTGGTCAGGATCGAACCAGATCCCCTGCAGGAGTTCCTTGTCCACAGCAGATGATGAGTACAGGTGTGAGATATCGGTACCATCATTTGCAGTGCATGGACTCTACCAACCGGTGGAAGTCTGGATTTTGGTCATGCAGAGAACATTGGAGCTGTTTATGTTTCATATGAGTAATGCATACAGCGCTACTCTAACAAACAAAACTGAAGATCCCAACAGTGCTAGTAGGTACTTCTTCACCTCAACTCTACTGGTGATGGAGCCAGTAATGGATCAAATCTGACTTGTGTGGGAGTCACTGGAGCAGTTGAGGTCAAAGAGAGCACTTCAATAATTCTCAGTGGTAAGAATTGTTGCAACTCCAACGTACAACTTTGCGTAACCCCAGTTGTTTGCCTAAGGCCAAGGCCAGATGTCAAATCTCACCTGAATCATGGTACAAAAGCATCCAAATGTGGCATTCTATTTAAGGCTCAAATACAGGATCAACTTCCTCCACATGCACATGAAGCAGAACACCTGGTTCACATGCTTATATATCCAGGTATTAGGTACCCCAGACCCTCCCAAAAATCTCTGAGTTACAACGATAGAGTTGTGATAGAGAGATCAGTGGATCTCCAGTGGACCAGACATTCCTATACTGGGGGAGTGGCTGTCATGAAGTATATACTACAGTGCAGAAAGGGTGGCTACAGTGACAGGTGGGCAGACAGTGCAGCTACACTACCCTTTCTGGTATATGGAGAGGTCATGGTCTCAGCTATCAATACATGTGGCCTGGAAAGTCAGCCAGCAGCTATCAACATTCCTGCTGCAGGTGATTGTACTGCAAGTGTCAAAATACCATTGTTCATGAACGCCCTGAGAAATTCTGTAGTTCACAAAATACCAAGTCACACCCTTCCATGGAAAGGAGACATAATGGTTTAATCCTGTGCGCAAATGGTTTTGGATTTATGGTAAATGGGAGGAAATTCATAAAATTTCTGCAGCGGACCTTGCGCGGTAAACAAAACATGCTATATTTTTCGGGTGAGCAATCTTAGAGAAACGGGCTTTTTTATTAACTTCACACTCCATATGCTAGTACTATTCTTTTTGCATGTCATAGCACGAGATACAAGATTAAGAAGTGCAGACCATCGGACAGGCTACAAACCAAGGACCGTAGCCCTCACTGTGCATGCACACCAAGTCACCAGGGGTTTATGAAATCTCAGTGATGCAGTTAATAATTGGGTAACACTGCATAAGCAGTGCTTTTTTCTCCCCTCCCTAGCTGCACATGTGTTGTGGTGCCAGAGTTGGACATACTTTTTATTAACTGTGGTGTTTTAACAAGCCAAACAAGTCAACTACACCCAGGATAGCTCTTTCCTACAGCTCTTTCCTTGAAAAGAAAGAGCTGTCCTGGGTGTAGTTGACTTGTTTGCCTTGCCTTTCTACCTCGCTACCAAGTTGTTGAGACTTGCGAATATGTACACTCTTTTAGTACCCCCACTACCTAACATTGCGGTTCAGTTCACCTGTGAATCCTTGCCATGGACAATTGAGTTGACGGTGAGGATGCTTGTAGCTCTTAGGTCGTTGTTAGCAGTTATCATTGCTGTGTCTATATATATTATGGCTGTAGTATGAAATGGAGGAAGGAGTGGTCTATCCTAATATGGATTTCATTCTGAGTCTCACTCCCACTGATGAGACTGCCAGTAGTCACACGTTATCTTCCGGAGATCCTGCCTGTTCTGATGCCACCTCTTATAGCACCTACTGCACTGTGAATGTCTCCAGAGATGTCTACATAATCTCTGTTAATCTCACTAATGATCTTGGTTCAGCTATAAACAGCAGCACATTTGACAGTGAGTTGTGTTTTCTGGGTGTGGAAAAGCCAATCACTACATGCCAATTGCTTCTATAGCACGGCCTGTTATTGTGGAAAAGGAGTTGATGCTGACTACTCAGTTGCTGTTGATTGTGACTGTGAGAAAAAACGCACTGTGTCCAGAGACTAAGTCTCCCGTTCTGGTAACATTTGGAACCAGAGCAGTGGCTGGAGGAGAGTGTGAGATCCAGCAGAAATCAACCGAAATGATCATCTCTTCTGGAAACTCTGCCTCCTTCTGTGTGGATGCTGCGTCTATCACCTTAGGCCCTGATGAGACCATCTGCTTTATAATCAGCCTTGATGGAGTGCCTTGTATGTTACACGGAAATGATAAGTGTGTATTTGAGATTTTACTTTTTCTATATACAGTTATATATGGCACTGGCAATGCCTCTACAGCCATCACTACTAGTTGTAGTAGCGATGAAAATGGCCTCTCAGTTGATGCTGTTGCAGGTCTTTCAGTAACCCTCACTCTACTGGTGGTCCTGCCAGTGGGTGTGGTTTTTGGCTGCTGTGGGATGTGGTGTCTGATGAAGTCTCAAGGTAGAAAGAAGAGAAGAATGGCTCCACCACTGTACGAGGAGCCAGTAAAACCTGCTTTTTCTCTGACTGAGAACCAAGCATATGGACAGGTTGCACATCGACAGACGACCAGCTGAATGTAACTTGGGAGCTGAGCAAATAATTATAAGTTAGCTGTGTCAATCATTCATGTTTTTACATTATTTAGCAAAGACTTTTGATTGACTAATGTGCCCGGTCACGCACGAAACGCGCATTATGCAGCGCTAAAGCACTTGATCGCGCATGCACTGATGTCGTAGGTCGCGCGCTATGAGGTAATGAGTTACCGCGCATGCGCGCGCATAATGACTCAGTGGTCCCTGCGCGAAATGGCATACCGCCGTTTATTTGCGGAAGAGTGAGTGCTTCATATTCTTTTCTCGCTATAACACGGGCATGTTCGGCTGCTAAGCACATTTTTGTAGTTAGCGGACTTACACTTCTGCGACCATCCGTTTGATCTGCTATGAAACGCTTTCGCCGACAGAAACATAAACTGATAGAGCTTTTCCTTTATCTTACGGTGCTCCAAGCCGGAGTGGTAGAGACCTCAGTTGACTCGTTACCATGTGAAGCTGAAGAGGAGGATCCTGACGAGGAAAATCCTATGGACAACCTCTCCTGTCCATTTGCAGACGAACTGCAGTGTATTTCTGTGTCTGAGCTTTGTAATGGTGCAAATGTCTGTATTGGAGATTATGACGAGGGTGGACCTAGTGATGATGAGGAAGGGATCCCAGGATCTGGTGGAATTCCCACAACTGTTATGCTGGAATGCAGTAGGTTCTTCTTACCCACTCCTGTTTACATAGAATTTTTAAAGTGTGTATAGCTAGCTAAAAGTTTAGGTGCTACCCCACAAACCTGTGAGGCAGGATGAATGCTATTTTGTGGGTGGGGAATTACAGTGGTAAAGAATGGCTTTTTACAAAGGTAGAGCATATTATTGAATTCACTTGTGCTGAGCCAAACAACACCCAAATCTTGGGACTAGTAAAGCATAGTAGCGTAGCCTTTCACTACTATGCCCGTTGCATCATGTAGCCTAGCTCAGCTGTGTTGCAACATCCCAACTCTTCTTAGCCAAGTAGCTAGTACTCTCACCTCAATTTCCTTTAAGCCATTACTATTTCCTCCGTCCATACTTTTATGGGAGATGTGAGGAAGGGGTTGTGGCTCGTATATAGAGTCAGGCATGGGAGAGATCCTTTTACTCACTACCAAGAACTCTTTTTGGTGTACGACTTTGCTCTACCACACACCTATTATATTATAGTACGTAGGCTGAGAGGAGATCTAAATACACAGTGGGTTACAAGAAAACGAACAAGTTATTGCAAGAGGGGATCCCACACAGAAGAAACCTCCAGACCACTTTCTCTGTTTATAAATCTGCCTCCATGTCATCTGATGTGTAGGAGGGCCTCTCTGATCTTCAGACTACATGGAGGCAGATTGATAAACAGAGACAGTGATCTGGGAGGTTTCTTGTGTGTGGGATTGCATCTTGCAATAACTTGTTTTTTCTTGTAATCCACTGTGTGTTTGATCTCCTCTCAGCTCTTGTTTTGTACTCATCCCTGAGGAAGGTCCTCGTGAGAGGGCTGAAACGTTGGAAAATAAGTTTCACTCACTCTGGTACAAATAAGAATTAGTTAGTCATTGGAGTTATGTCCAGAGAACAAAGAAGTCTTCGACAGAATTAGGTCTTACATTATTATAAGCGTCAAAGTGACCGAATTCAATGATTGCACTCAATAGTAACATAATTATAGCAACCCACTACTACCCTAAAATTTATTTGTGTGCTTTTGCTTGGTATTAGTGGAAAAATCAAATGAAGGGGGATAGAGGGATGGCTCAAAGCACCAAGAAGTAGCAGCAAGGACACACAAAGCTATAGCATCTTTGTCCGTTTACCTATGAATCAAGATAGGGGTGGTGTCATGTAGCTTTGTTGTGTAATGACCCCTTGTTTCTTTCTTTTTGGTGCTTCGAGCCATCCCTATATCCCCTAGAAAGATTTGACCTGTGCCATCCCTATGATACATCATAGTTTAAAGTCAGCTTTTCAGTGGTTAGCTACACCCGTGTCAATGATGTGTATCTTCAACTAGTTTTAGGGATAGCATATTGAAAGTTTATCTTGCTGTTTCCACTGCTATGGGAAATGTGACTTTCGTCATATGGACACACTTTCAAGCTATAGTGCATAGGTCAGGCTCTTTTACCAAACAGGTATAATAACTAAAATCCCTAAGCTCACAAAACTGTCTTTCACACAACCAGAGAAGAAGTATCTCAATTACATCATTATGATGTAGACGTTTTAGGTGAGAACGCGATATTTGTAAAAACTAGGACAGTCACAACTTCTGTCCTACCATAAAAAAATGCAAACCATTCCCATAGTCACAATCACATATACTGGAGTAGCCAACAGAGTTGAATGAAGCAAAATGTACATGAAATATCTGCATAACGTAACTTAACCACAACATTTCGACTGTCTATTCATGTTTGTGGAACTTTCTGTCCACCTACTTTTGGCTAGCTACCAAGTAGCTACCGTGGGAATGGATAGGTAAGTTTTTTTTCAAAATCAGGTAACAGGACATTTCAGTGCTCTTCAACTGAGGAGAATTACCTTCTCATTGATGCTCTGTGTAACGGTGTCAAAGACTGTGAGAATGGAGAGGATGAGACCAATGTTCTCTGTGAGAGTAAGTAATATAAACACTCCTGTATAATGTAATGCCGAGTGTCATTGATTAGCTAATACAACATGATAGTGTTGGAGTGTCAGCATAAAAGAAATGGTGTTGTGTAACTTTTGTGCCTTTGCTGTGTAACCAACCACCCCACATTGCTTTATTTTTTGGTGTTTCAAGCCATCCCCTGTATGACTCTTCCACTTGTGTGTTTTACAGACAAGTGTCTCATGCCATACTACGGAGGATGTCCCTACAATAGGGAATGCATTCCGTCTGAGACTGGTGTCAGTTGTGGCGACTGTCTACCAGGGTTTATTGAGTATTCAGACGGAGTATGCATAGGTATTTTTCCAAATCTTTGACGTGCTTGGGATAATAGTTTAATATTTCATTTCCAAAAGTGAGAGCTGAATTTGATCAAAATAACTATTATGGAAGTGCAATGGATGGAGTCACCCAAGACATATGTGTAATTTTAGGTCTTCAGCAAACCCAGTTCGATTTGGGAGAGGGTGCTTTACCGCCTATCCATGCATCTATCATTACATATGATTCTTTCGGTAGAGAACCCCAAGGTATAACTCTAACTATGGCATTATGCTTAATTCTGTTTACATTAATTTCTATTGCAGGACTAATAAACTCCAGTTTGTACTTTGTTATCAGAACAAATCAAACACAGTACTGCTTTCGCTCTCAGATAGTTTTGGCCATGTTTACTGCTCCAGTAGATAGATACAGGATTGTTCTGACTGTTACTACTCTAGGCGTGCGCTATGTTGAAGTTTCGAGACTGTTAATATATGAGACCATATCTTACGGTATGTCAATAACATAATATTCAAAGAGAAACCATCTTCATACTGTGTGTTGCATGCAGATGTCGCTGCTGTCTTCTATCCTAATACCTTGACTGTGAGAGAGGATGCAGGAAGGAGACTAAGAGTTTGCATTTCACTTGTGTCTAGCAATTCATTTGAGAGTCCACTAATTGAAGTGAGCAGAGTGTCTATAGTGATATTGAATGACACATCGTCCTCATTAGGTATATTATCATAGCATGCTATATAAGTGCACAGTTGTTGCTACACATGTGTTGTTTTTAGATTACGAAGGAATGGATGAGACTCTCACCTATTCTAAGGCTAAGGATCAGTTTGTTACAAATAGTTCCTCTCAATCAACTTACATGGAATGTTTCCGTTTGAAAGTTGCCAATAATGACCGTGTGGAGGAAATAAGACTGTAGTACTGGGTCTTGCAAGCCCAACTGGTGTCATAACACTGAGTCCTGAGAGAGCAGATTCCCAAGCTACAATCACGATTGTTGATGATGATCGTAAGTGTGAAATATATATTTTACAGCAATACCATACTAATCTCCTTGCACAACACTTTTTGTTTCTTTATGACGTACACTTCCAGATTACGTTACGGTCACTCAAGAGCATAGCAGGTATAATGTGTCAGAGAATAGATTATCAGTAGTGGTGTGTGGTGTGCTAAACACATCAGACATCATTGAATGTGCTGTAAACTACGAGTTTGAAGTCTCACTCAACCTTCGAGACATGAGTGCTGGTAGGAACTCAAAAGATTGTGTTTTAGAGATAATGACATAAATATTACAGAATACCGGAATGACTACGGACATTCTCCAGTATATCTGAGGTTCAGTGCTTGTCAGAATAAGGCATGTGCAGATATATCAATTGTGAATGACAACATTACTGAGTACGATGAATCCTTTGGCATTGTACTGGAGAGGACCCCGAACCTTGACAGTAGGATTAGTCTCAGTCCTGAGTCGGCAGTTGTCACCATCATGGATGATGACGGTAATCAAGTATGTAGGCTTATTGTTGGATTCAACTCTAGCACCTTTAACGTTTTTTTTTAGTTTCTCATAGCACAGTTTGACACAAAACTAAGTATCCATTGGGTTTCAGTGAACCCTATGGCTGGGGCCACCTGTGTAGTGTCCTCACTACTCCAAATACAGAGACCATTGGGTTCATTGAAATCCCGTAGATCCCTCCAACTAGAGATCTTTATTAGCCATACATTGTATGTGTCAAGTTGTATGTCAAACTGTACTGTACGAAAAACCTATCCCTTTGCACTCATTCATATACACTCTTCACACAGGTATGGTGATTGGCTTTAGTTCTAAAGAATACACAACAACTGAGTCTCTTGGAGAGGTATCTGTTTGTGTTAAGATCCTAAACTCATTTAATGGAGAGGCTTTAGAGCCATTCACGATTGCTCTACTACCTGATGAAGGTATACATTAAGTGTAACACCGGACTATGAATATTTTCATAGTAATAACAGGGTTTGAGACGGCAAATGCAGTTAAAGACTGTTACAAGACAATAGAGTTTGTGATTGGAGCATCAGTGGAGTGTCACAATTACAGCATTAAGGATGATAACATGTGTGAACTAGGAATACCTCAACAAGGCTTTCAGATCAGACTTGCAATAATTGCTACTGGAAAAGAGCAATAAGGATAGATTCAAAACGTTCTATTGCAACTATTGTCATTGACGATACTTCAGAAATGGAGTGCTGTAAGTTAGTATGTACAGGTATCATAATTACTTTCTGCATTTAAAGTATGCTTATGAAGATAGCGGTAAACATCGAGGGATAGACCATACGTAAAATAGAGGTGCATTCCATATTTTCCTGAAATTTGTCTCATAGTCGTGAGGGTTGGGTTTGAAGAACCCAGTGTCGTCAGCCTTTCTGAGAAGTATAAGTCTGTTGAAGTTTGTGTGAACAGCACATCTCCTGGAATAGAGGAGCAGTTTTTCATCAACATCACGTCTCATAATGCCAAAAAATGTACGTTTGAAATATTTAATGCTTTCAAAATGCCCACACGCTTTTACCCACATGCAGTTTTAATGGCACCTATACCAGGAAGACTGTATTTTGAGGTTAATCAAACAAACTTGACTGATATTCAGTGTTTCGACCTGTCTGTTGATTTTACCTCAAGTGCCCTCTGTCAATATTTCCCCAACTGCACTAAAAGTAAATTTTCTTTATCACTGGGAGAGCACAACGAAAGCAACCGTGTTTTCATTGATGTGGATAAATCAACAATGGATGTTGATGTTCAAATGCCAGAAAGATGTGGATGTTCAGCACAAATATCTTCATCAAATTCGTCTCTAAATGGTGCAACTGTTGCAGCAATTGTACTAGTAACATTGCTTGTCCTATTAGCTATTATTGTAATTGTTATGCTGTATAGGAGATGGAGACAATATAATCAGTGAGCTTTTTCACCTTTTCGTCACAATTACTATGAATGTGCGTCTGTTTACATCAAGGCAAAGAGCTGTTGCTGTTGCTCATGATGCTGTAATTTCAAACGTTTATGATACTCTGGGTATGAATGAAAGGTTTTGCCTGATGCAAATGTTCTACTCCAGTTTTGATTACAGGTGAAAGCAGCCAGTCAATCAGACTCCAACACCTGCGAGAAGAGCTACAAAATAAGAATATGATCTATTCAAAAGATCAAATACAGTTATCCACGACTGTGGGACAAGGTAGGGTTTACTTTTTCATGGTATTTCATGCTTCACTATAGTGCACATGTATGTAGGGGAGTCTGGGCTGGTTTACAAAGCCTATATCAAAAGTGCAGTTGGAAACAAACTTGTTGCAGTAAAAACAGGAAAAGGTAGATCAATTTCATTTTGTGACTTATCAAGGAATATATACAACTGAAACACCCTAGCACTATTCTCTACTGTTGATCTGGAGAGACTGGCAAGGGAGGTGTCTACAATGTTGTCGTTCGAGCACACTAATGTGATGTCTCTTATTGGAGTGTGCATTGATAGAGAAATGCCCCTCCTTATCATGCCATTCATGATTAATGGAAGTATTTTACACTATGTCAAACGTCACAAGGAGAAACTGCTGTTTGTGAATGAATGTGCGAAGGAAAAGGTATGTAACTAGAGTTACAACAACACTTTCAGAGATCACTTCATGATATTAGATGGAAGAAGCCCGTAGAATTATGCTAAATATGGCATACCACATCACCAAGGGGATGGAGTACCTCTCAGGACACAAGTTTGTTCATCGTGACTTGGCAGCAAGGAACTGCATGTCTGATTTAGGACTAGTTCTAATGTTCCACGTTTAAACTGTCTCTTTTCAGGATCGATGAAAAGGGAATCGTAAAAGTTGCTGATTTTGGACTAACAGAAGATATGTACTGCAGAAAGTACTTTCGTCGAGACAAGAGTGAACCTGGCGGTGAAGAGAAAGTCCCCATTAGATGGATGGCTCCTGAGAGCATCAAGAATGACATCTACAATGAGGCTACTGATGTTGTGAGAAAAATAAAGTCTTTCCTGGAATGTGCAAACAAATGTAATTTTATTGCAGTGGTCATTTGGTGTGACAATGTGGGAAATATTTACATGTGGGAATGTGCCCTATAATGGAATACATGCCATGGGCATCCTCCCAGAGCTGGAGAGAGGAGCCGTTCTGGAGATCCCTGACAATAAAGCCTGCAGTGATGACATGTCAGTGTTTATTTGCATACCATTTTTACCAGAAAAGAGATATGGAACAGCTCCATTGCCTATTCCATTCTTCTAAATTTGAATATTACTTCTTGTCATAATTACTGCAACCAAGAAGTTGGCTGATTTTAACTTTCAGGAATGATATTATATTCATTTCAGATACCAAGTTATGAGTTCATGCTGGAAGTTGGATGCAGCTATGCGTCCCAGGTTCAGCGGACTGGTTACTACAATAAACTGTTTACTGGAAAAGGATTCTGGCTATCTGGAGCTTCTAAACCTACCCAGTTTTGAAGCCTCAAGTTTACCATTTATTGGTAAGTCACTAAGACTGTGTCCATTTTGGATATGTAAAGTTTGCCTCTGTATTGTACAGTCCTGCCTGCTGTAGCTCTGTAGGAAAATGTGTGTATTGAGACTATTATAAATGACCATTCGTGATCGATCCATGAAGCGTAATGTGCATGTGTAGTGTCCGTTTATTCCCATGTCTATCCTGATATAATGTGTATGCCTTGTACGAATGGTCATTCTTTGCCCTGACTCCATACGTGACATAAGGGCACTCTGCCTAGGCTACAGAGTGTAGTGGGCTAATTAGAACTCCTACTAAGGGGACTGTACGGTGTGTTGTTGTGTTTTGCATTGTTTGTAAAAATTAACAAGCTCACAGTTGTCCATTAGTACATGACTGATGATTTCATACAGCTGAAGTAGGGAGTATGGACTTAATCACCCAATCAAAACAGGCCGTCAATGCAAGGCAGGCACTGATATCAACTCGCTTATGGAGACATAGCAGTATAAAACTGTAGCACATCGCTATGAACAACGTCACGATCTCGTATATAACCATCATCCATCTATGACCATACTGTTTGTATACTTGTGAGCTTATTGTGTCAACTTACTATGTAACAACATTGATTTCCCTCAAAGAGCAATGCAATACATCCTACAGACGTATATACTTCACCAAAGACCATGACCATAAGGAAAAGAAGAGTAGACATACTGGACTGGACTCTATTATTATCTCAACAACCTAAGGCAGAGCTCCTAACCCAACCACTTGTCCACTTGTAGAATGTGATGGGGAAACCAATGACTGCAACCAATGGCGGTGTGTCAAGGTCTAACGATCCCTACTACACCACACAACCCAGAGCTTAACAATGTGCCGTAGAAGCAGAAAAGAGAAAATCACAATGTCCATGAGCACCACAAACCAGCACTGAACCAGTTTCAGTAGGAGTACGAGTTTCGGTTGCGGTGGCAGGAATCGTGTGAACATCTATTCGTAGCTGGCAGAAAACTGAAGCGTGCATAAGAACCCATGCCATTTGGTTGCTAGAGATGGGCCCCATTAGCTGTTGCTGGTGTGTAGCTATGTATGAATCATGGCAATGATGTCACCTGCACCACCCTTAAATAGAGTGGAACGAACTACTGGAGTGCATATAATATTAGACAAGTGGAAAATCATTTCTTCTACAAATGAGAAGGGGAGATAAGACACCAAAAAGAGGAGAACAAGGGTCACTACACAGCTAGGATGCACAAAGATACATGACACCATCACTATATCTTTGTTAAACTTGCTTAGTACCAAAGATATAGGATGGTGTCAGTATAGCTTTGTGCATCCGGAGTGACTAG